AAAGTGTAATTAACAAAACCCTAAATTCACAATCAAAACTATTTGTTACATCTGAGAAGGGAGAAGAGCAACATTTGTCATCTGTTTTTCTTTCTTTCTCAAATTACAGGATGAGAGGGCTTCTAGTTGGTTTCCATTTCTGTCCCGTTCTGTTGAGTGGTGTTGCTTTGTTTCTTGTGGCTTTCAGTTCGTCTTTGCACACTGACTTGAGCAGGGACGCGGTTTTCGAGAGAGTTGAAGGTAACACATGAATGTGTTATACCTCCTAACACAGTGATATTTTTTTCCGACGGGATGTGAATGTTTCAAGTGCTAAGGGCGAAAACTCGGATCGGATGACACAGATTTTGGCTGTGTCACGATAAACTTTACATGATCCCCCCCCCCAAATAAGGCTCTGTGACATTCTTACAATCCCCCTCATTGGTAGTAAATCTCCATTCTTCCCCCTTTATACTCTGTTGGCCACAGCAGTTCGCCCCCAAAAAAATATGAGATCGCCCCAAAATCGGGTAAAAACAACAGGAACTTTCTACGCGCAACTCTTATAACTCTCAGGGCTTCTTCATATTCGCCTTTGAACGATATCAAGAATCAAGATGACCTTATAAGACAGGGTAATTAACTACACACAAACTGTGTTATTAAAGTATCCAAAAAAATTGAGTGATGAGAACATGAAACACGATTGTGTTGTTTTTCAAGGATTTGAGCTAATTGGTCACATCACCAAGACATTATATGCTGACGAAATAAGCTGTGGATTGAGATGCCTTCAAGATGAAAACTGCCAATCTTACAACAGCAAGTCCGATGCTAATGATGCAAAGAAGGAATGTCAACTGAGTAATCAAACCAAAAAATCAAGTCCGGAAAACCTGAGGCGTAACCCACGTTCTACTTATTATCATGGAAGAGGTACTGTTGAGTAAGGTGCTTAACATTATGGAAAAGTTAGTGGAGGTGGGAGGGGGGGGGGGGGTATGAAGGGTCGGAGTATTTTGGTTGTCACAATAAAGTTTTCCTGATCCTTCCATAACGTTCCGAATTATTCTATCGATCTTCCTCATTGGCCGCCAATTTTCTTTAGTCCCACCTTTAAACTCTGTTAGCGACCACTGCTCCCCTCTCCATTCCCTTTGAAAACAATGATATTCCCCCCTAAGACCCTGCCACCCCTCCCACCCCCTCTTTCCAAGTCAAAAATGGTGACCTATTTCTTACTTCTGATAAGCGCTTTTCAGAGCTCTGTCATGTCACGTGTACATCCACGTATAATCTTTCCCGAGAGAATATGAAGTTAAAAATCTCTTGCTTTTCCTTATAATGATAGGTTGTCCATTTTCTTAATTTAAATTTAAATTTCCAAAATCAAGAGCTATCTAATAATTACGCGAAAGGAACTACTTATGGAATAAGACCTCTGTGGCGTGTTTTGTTTCTTAGTTTGATCCTCTTCTCGTTTTAAATGATCATTCTTCCCTTTTGCTATGCAGATAAACGAGGTTGGGATTCTGCTCATCCGGCCCTCTCCTGTAAAGAAATTCTGGACTCTGGACACTCCAAAGGAGACGGGGAGTATTGGATCGACCCAGAGAAGAGTGGAAACCCTTTGAAGGTCTATTGTGACATGTCAAGATCTGGTGGTAAGAGAATGAATTTTTTTTTTTGAGACACGAGGACTTCAACAGGAGTATATTTGACTTGGAGCATTTTCTATTGGAACGTTCTGGTCTTGGCTATTCTTGCTTTCTCAACAAAGATCCTTCTTATGTTTTGAATCAAAAGTATAGCAGAATTCTCGAAAATGAATGGTTATCATCAGCAGGCCGATTTGAGCACTAATAGGACAGTGTACGCGTCATACTTGTGATTGGACGGTATAATAGGACCGTTGAAGGGACAGTTAACGCGTCATGCCTGTGTGAGTGGACAGAACGCGTTATGTGCGCGCTGTTGTCTCGCATTTCGCCGAGTAAACTGTTGTTTTTCGTTTTTATGAAAACGTATAACCGATGTCCAGTTTCTTTCTCAAATTTTGTCATAGTTTTAATTAATTGGTAACAGGCCTTCTTGTCGTCTAATTCTGTCTGTAATGATACGAGTGATTAACAAATCGGACTCCCGCTTTGCGGTCGTACGATTCTGTAAATCACTCGTATGATTACAGACCCAATTGGACTCCACTCGGTCCTGTTACCATTAAATATGTTCAAAATTCTAGTTTCATGGATGTCACCAGATGATTTAGGTTTGTTTTATTTTAGGAGGTTGGCTTCTGGTGTCAAATGTTGAGTTCGGAAGTCCCTCTCCTAAGGTGTCAGTTGAGACATCATACCGTGGAATAGGTAAGTCACACATGGTTCTGCAGAAAAGTGCCATGAAAGAGCTCAGAAGACACTTGTCCTTCACTCAGCTGAGATTCCACTGCCGCAAGAAACAGGGACGCACATTCCACGTGGTCACAGCTTCCAACAGCTCAGGTGAAGCTGTGGTCCAGTACTTCAGCGGTCAGACAGATGAGCAACCGGACGCCTGTGGTTCGTTTGTGAGAGTGACGTTGGATGACAATTCCGAGTTAGCTGGCATTTGCAAAGATTGGGGTCGACTAGTAAGTGGAGAGTCCGGGTTGGAAAGTGGGGACATGGTGAAGGTCAAGAGAGGCTATACTGGTATCCCGTCATTAGAAAAAACAAGTATCACCTTAACGTCCGACTGCATAACGTTGACGACCTCAGAAAAATGGAATGTGATGATGACTCCCGTAACACTAACGACACAAACGGCGATTTCTGGAGAGTCTTTGTTCGTTAGTTGCGTCTATATGTACACCAAGCAACCCTTGACTGTGCCAATAACAGTAACAAACGAATAACGCAAAATAAAGAGAAATGCACCGTTACACTCATCAGGTTATAAGATTGTTTTTGTTTCCATTTCGGGGCAAGGGAAAGCAATCCTCGTTGTTTCCCTTGGGGCCAGTCATTTTTAATTTTTATTTTTGAAAATATTTTCTCATACATCCCAAATCGAATATGACTGCAAAAAATCACTTTTTGTACGTAGGCTGGCACACACATTTACCGCGGTTTCACGGTGAACAACCTTATCGCGCGAGAGTCGAAAGTAAAAGTTGTTGTCTCCTCGGGGACTTTTGTTACCCTAGAAAGTAAATGTGTTTTTATTCACGGCGCGTGAAATATTCAACCATCCAATCAAAAAACCTAATTCAGTTGAGAGGTACATGACGATTAAATTTTCACAACTGCTTCCTTCTAAATAAACGGTTGAACTAGTGACCACGTCAACCTCAATGTTAAGTTGAAAGACTCTAAACATGATTAACTAGTTGGTCGGATCGCGAGCGTCGCGCGTGAATGCTAAAAATTCTAGAGCAAGAGGAAAGGACATTTTGCAGTTCGAAAAAAGTTCACTACTGACACAAGAAAATTTCAGCGACCTGTTCGATATGGCGGGAAGCAATTGAGAAAAACCATGCTTAGCACGAAAGGTCGAGGCTAGCTGGGAAATCTCCCGGACAATAAAAAGTAATCATACAGATTTTGACCTTCAACCTCTGCTCAATACTTAGAACAGAATAAATCCGATGATAATGATGAACCGTTTGTCATTTCGACACTGAATTGAGTTGTTTTTTCCCTCTCATAATATTTATATATATATATATATATATATATATATATAGGAGGGAGAGGGAAAGGCCACAGCATTTTTGTTGTCACAATAAGTCGAGTCAGTCAATTTTCTTTGGTCACGCCTTTAAACTCTGTCAGCGACGACTGATCCTACCTCCGTTCCCTTTGTAAACCAGGAGACCCCCCCACCACCCGCAAGACCCGCTCACCCTCCAACCCCTCTTTCCAAGCGAAAAATGGTGACCTATTCCTTACTTCTGCTCAGCGCTTTTCAGAGAATGTAAAATTTATGATCTCTTGCCTTTCCCTATAACTTTTCCATTTTCTTAATTTGAGATTGAAGGATGCTATGGATACTACAAATATTTCCAAAATCAAAAGCTATCTAATGATCACGCGAAAGGAACTACTTTTCGAATAAGACCTATGTGGCGTGTTTTGTTTCTAAGTTTGATCCTCTCCTCGTTCCAAATGATTATTCTTCCCTCTTCCGATGTCGATAAACGAGGCTGGAATTCTGCTCATCCGGCCTTCTCCTGTAAAGAAATTCTGGACTCTTGACACTCCAAAGGAGACGGGGAGTATTGGATCGACCCCGAGAAAAGTGGAAACCCTTTGAGGGTCTATTTCAAGATATGGTGGTAAGTGAATAAGTCTTTTTATTTGAGACACGAGGACTTTAACTGGAGTATATTTGACTTGGAGCAGTTTCTATTAGAACATTCTGATCTTGGCTATTCGTGCTTTCTCTACGAAGATCCCTGTTTTCAGTGTTTTTTAATCGAAACCGTAAAATATTCTCGAACGTGTTTGGTTATCACCAGCCTGCCGATTTGAGCACAACAGGACAGCACACACGTCATGCTTGCAATTTGACAGTGTAATAGGACCGTTAAAGGGACAGTTAACACGTCATGCCTGTATGAGGGAAAAGAACGCGTCATGTGCGGGCGCTGTTGTCTCGCACTCCGCCGTGTTGTTTTTCGTTTTTATGAAAACGTATAACTGAGATCTAGATTCTTTCTCAAATTTTTTCATTGTTTTGATTAATTGGTAACAGGCCTTCTTGTCGTCCAATTCTGTCTGTAATCATACTCGTATGTATGGTCCAATACTTCAGCGGTCAGACAGGTGAGCAATTGGATGCCTGTGGTTCGTTTGTGAGATTGAAGTAGGATGAAAATTCTAAGTTAGCTGGCATTTGCAAAGATTGGGGGCTAGTGAGTGGAAAGTACTTTTTTGGAAAGTGGGGATATGGAGAATTGAAGGCAGGTTATACCGGTTTCCCGCCTTCGGTCCACTTGAATAGGGAACTTAAGCACCTGACGTTTTCTACGGGGCGAC